TAAAAGTTATAATACTTTTCTTTAATAATCACATAATTATACATATTTAAAAATATGCTTTAATAATGAAATAGATTTTTTTATAATAGAAAGTTAGTAGGGATAAAATAGCCTTTTTAATGAAAATATATTTTGAGAAGATTAAAAATTGAAAGTAAAATTTTTTTGTGAACCAAAGAAATATTATGAATGATAATAAACAAAGAAATTAAATAAAGTTTTACTCCTGAAATAGTAGAATATTCTTGTAACTATTCTAATTCCAAATGTTAAAATTTCAAAATAATGTCTCAATTAGAATTTTATTGTGTAGCTCCCAAATCTATTAACGTAGTTTTTGTTCAATCATATACTGAGTAATTTTAATCTCTTAAGCGCAAAAATGAGGCTTAAACACTAGATGTAGAGAAGTTTGAGGTGACTTTCCTACAACTGCGCCAACATCATTCCATCTCTGAATTAGCATTTTGATCATTCAAAAATATGCCAAAATAACAGAATAGAGACTGCCCTATTTTTAAAGAAAAATTCTAAAATCATCTCAATAAATATCTCATGATGGCATCTTTCACTTCAAGTTCATAGACATTAATAAGCAATAAGTTTATGTACACATTCTCGTATTGACAAAATATTTTTTACTTTATACAAAACGAAGCAAATTTTTAATTTATTTTAATTAAAGATTGGTATAAAAATCAAAATCAAAACTTATATATTCAAAAGTACATCAAAAGTTCTACAAAATATAAGATGACAGAAATATTTTATTTTATCAAATAATCAATCAAAACATACAAATAAATAAATGTTTCAGTGACTTTTGAATTAAATACTCCCTAGTAAAGAATGTAATTTTTTTTCTTTAGTGAGAAAGGAGAAAGTATATGCCTATATGGGACAAGAGACAAGGCGAGAGAAAAACATTTGGTGAGAAATGGCGTTCCACTAAGATGATCTTTTTTTCTTCTTTGTTTTTATACCAAAACCTCCACATTAACCCCATAACATTATCTTCCACTATATGCCACGTTTATTTTCCAAAAGAAAAAAATCACATTACATATATATTCCCCACGGCCTTTTGAATATGACAAGCTAGGTAGGCAAGAGGTTAAGTAACTAAGATGCTTGCTTTAATTATAGTAAAAGAGGATTAAATATCACATGGCAACAAGTTATCCAATTGCTTCAAGTGGAAAAACCATTTATTTGATGGATGGCCGGAGATATAAACGTGCTCCAACCACTTGTGGACCTATGGGGACCCCTTCAATTAACGGACCAAAATTTCATTAACTTTAAGGCGTTGCGCAATTAGCAAAGACAAGATGTCAAGAGACCGGTTAGATTCAAGTTTGGTACTTGACAACTGCGTTAGAAAGAAACTATGTTAAGCATTTCGTTTCACTATGTGAAACTCATTCGAAACACTCTTTGCCATCAATTTAACTCTTTTCAGTGACAAGGTTTAGGGGGGCCTCGGAGATGGGGCTCATCAATTTTTTATATTAACTTTAGGCTATCAAAAATATTATGACGAGAAAAGACTAGATTAGATCTAATCAGATCAGATTTAATCAGATCAGACTTTCTATATTAAATTAAATGATATTTTTTCTATTATTAAATATTTCTTCTGTCCCGGAGTATTTGTTCACTTTTTAAAAACTATAAAAATAAAGAGTATAATTTACATATCTAAAAAGTTTTACAAAACAAGTAGTGACATATATCGACTATTTTATTTTATCCTATAATTAAGAAAAACACACATGCAAAAAAAAAAATTAATCGAAGGCTTGTAATAGTATATATCATTATATTTTAAAGGTAAAAAGAGCAATAATTTTAATAATTACACTCGTCATGTAAAAAAAGAAATCATCCTAAATAGGAGTAAAATATAGAAAAACTACCAAAATAGAAACTCTTTGTTTTAATTCTTAAAATATGAGTTTGTACTGTGGTAATGTGGCAGTGTATATATATGGACAGTTTACAATACCTTTTAGTAATGTACATGGTCGTGATTGGCAATGAATATGCATTTTAACTCTTATTTTAGGAATAAAAATATAGAATTTCTATTTTGGTTTATTTTCATTGTTTTACTTTTACTTTAGTATTTTTCTCTAATTTATTTATTTATGAAAATTAAAAAAGTATGAAAATGATAAGAATATTGAAAAAGTACGTCGTTAAATTCTTTTTAAATGGAAGCAAAATATATGAGACTATACATATTTCTGAAAAAGAGAAAAAAAAGCAATAATTTTTTTAGAAACCTTTACAAATAGAATATTATTTTAGCACAACTTCGAAACCTATTATTACCACATACACATATTTACAACATGACTAGCATGGGATAAGCAAAACTTATCATTATCTAACATACTATCCATATTTTCTAATTATTGGTTATTTTCAATGGTTTTCTTTATCTATATCTTTAGTATATTTCTCAATTTTTGTTTCATATAACACATAAATCTATAATTATAATAATAATAATAATAATAATAATAATAATAATAATAATAATAATAACAACAACAACAACAACAACAACAACAACAACAACAACAACAATAATAATAATAATAATAATCAAACCACATCAGATTTAATCAGATCAGTTCTAGCAAGATGATATAAGATCTAATTGGATCATATCAAATTAAATATGATCAAATCTAATCAGACCAGATTCGATCAGATCAAACAAGATCTTCAAAAAATTATAGATCAGACCCAATCTGATTGGACAAACGGAATATAGGCTATAAATGGAATAACATGTGCTGGTATGATCTTATTCAAAAAATAAAAAAACAACTCAGTCACAGAGTAACACGTGAGTGGAGTAACATACCCTGGCAAACCATTGTTTGGCGGATTTAAATTGTTAAATAATTCGTATTAGTTTAATTATCAGAAAAAATAGAAACAAAGATGTTAAATGATAATTATAATTGAAGCCCAAGCCCAGCTTACATGGGAATTTTATAGGCCCGAGTTTGACCCGGCCCATATAGTAGGCCTAACAATTGAAGCTCAAGCCCAGCTCACAGGGGTAGTCGCAGAGTTTAGGCTAGCCCGATCTTAATGGACAATAACTTGTAAATAATTAAAAAAATAATTTTTTAAATAAAGTTATGCGTTTATATTATAACTATAATGAGTATATCAAAGAATGACTAATATAAAAATTTTATTTTGATTGATAATGTTACAAAGTCAATTATAATGAAGATGTATTTATTTTATTAAATATAATTATAGTTTGCGTTTTTCTACAAATAATTAGTATGTTGTGTGTTTGTAATAAACTAAGATAGTATTGTTATTATTATTATTGTTATTATTATTATTACTATTTTTATATTATTATTTTATTATAATTATAGTAACAATAAATATTATTATTCATTTGGACTGGGCTGGCAGTGAGCTTGAGCATAAAGCCTGAGCCTGACCCTAAAGTACACGGGCTGCCGTTTATGAATCTTGAGTTTGGCCCATACTCTAAAATGTCAAGTCTAAGTCTGCTATTTTGCAGGCGGGTCGGGTACCCATGCCTATAATCAGGTCTAGTCTTCTCTAATGTTTATGACAAAATCAACCTTTCTTATTACTTCTAATTCACACTTTGTTCGAGTCTCTTTAATGGCTTCTTATAAGTTCTTTAAGGGCACCCGCATCAGGCGGATAAGTAGAAGGAGGAGAAGTCGCAGTAGATGGAGGAGATCAGAAGTTCTATTGCGCAGTTTTCAAGACAGAGATGGAGTATGTAACTCTTCTCCGCGGGGAGAAGAAATAATAAATGGGAAAGACTAATGGTTTCGCGACATGTGGCGTTGCAGCTCCTTTATTTATTTATTTATTTATTTATTTATTTATTTATTTATTTATAGCTTTCTGCTCCGTATAGTTGCACCCAACACCTTTTTTCTTATTTACTCCGTATTTTATTTCTCATGCCATGTGGCGCCGCTCCCAACACTGTTTTTTATGTGCATACCAAAATTTACTTTTAAAAAAATTAAGTACGATGTGAAATAAACTTTTTTTTACAACAGTAAGTATGACTTGAAATTTACTACAAAAAAGATTAAAAAATCACATGGGTAATTTTTTAGTAAAAAAAATTAAGTATGATATGAAACCTATAAATATTTAGTAACTCGTAGTGTTAATCTATAAATAGTTTTTAAGTTTTTTAGCATAGCTAAATTAGATCATTTTGAGTGAAATTCATTTGTTAAAATAAATTTAATTAACTTTTTTATTTTTTATTAATGATGTACAATTTTATTGTCAAACCCATAAAAAGTGAAGTACAATTCTATTTTTCATCGATTTGTAAATTAATATAATTGTACATAGTATAAATATTTAATAAAAAATCATTTAGGTAATATAATGAATACTCCCTCCGTCCCGAAGTTTTTGTCAACTTTTGACTTTTGGAACTGTTTATCTAAGCACTTTGACTCATCAAATTCTCTCAATGTGTAAGCCTAAATATAGTCATGTGTGATTTTGTTTGATTTGTTTTAACATATACGGAGTAGATTATTAATATATAATTTCTATAGTTTTTTAATATACAAATTACAAGATAAAATGGATTAAAGAAGTGTATTGGATGGTGTGTAAAAATGAAAATGGACAAATACTCTGGGACGGAGGTAATACTACGTAGTATTCTACTCCTCATTTTGATGTAAGAGATAAAGAGGAGCAAATGTGGGCCTACAAAAGAGAGAAGGATGAGTACTCCTCACTTTACTCCATGTGGGTGCTCTAAGACCTTTTCTAAGGACGTGCTTGCAATCTTTACAAGATCAACCAAGTAGTACCTCCGTCATAGTGTATATGTCCGGTTCAACTTTTTCAAGTCAAATTGGATAAATTTTAAACACCAATTACTCTCAATTTATATGGTATATTAGCATAATGAAATACAGCTTTGAGAGTTCTCAATACGATAAATCCAATAAACTCATTTTTATGTTAAAATACAATACGATTTTTATTTAATTGAATCTCAAAGTTTGTCCACCAAATTAACTCAAAAAAGTCAAATTGGACAAATACACTGGGATGGAGAGAGTATTAAACTACTTGACAGAATGACGAACATGAACATCACATGTTGTGAACGAGTTCATCTGGAAGATCCAAACATCACGGTGAAATATGGTTATAATGACGTGATCTCTCTCTGCGATGCCTTTCGAATTTTCTCTCTTCTTTTTGGCTTGCTAATCTCTGAGGCTAGGCGCAACATATATAGGGAATAAGAAATCTTATAAGAAAATTTTTTTATGGTGGAGGGAATAATTTCTTGATTAAAAGTTTAGGGATTGATCATATATATTGTGCAATGTCTCCCATTTACAACCACCTTTGGACTTTAGTTGGCAGATAAAGAATATTCCAATAGTTAATTGCAAGTTTGAAATGATAAAAGCACTTATTATATGACAAGCATAATCTTGAAAGGCCACTTATAATTATCAAAATCATGGGTTTGCAAAAATATTCTAGATTGGGACATGATAGGGCAAGATATAGGATAAACAAAGTCTCCCCATTAAAAAAAGTGCGACAAATGGAGATGCTTTCCAAACACTTTTTTTTATTTAAATGCTAGTTTTCCAAATACTTTAATAATATGGTGTTTCTCTCTAAATACCCGTGTTAATATGTGTAATTAAAATTAAATATATTAAAAGGCCTTTTTCTAAAATATTTTAGGTCCGGGTGTCACAAGAAAAAGTAGGTTCTTGCAAGAATTATTTGAAATTTAAATATTTTTACCATTTTGAAACTCTAACAAAAAAAAAGTACATGTATAAAAAAAGTTTATCACAAAATGCTCTACATGTATAGAAAAGTTTATCTTTCATTCTATTAAAATGCTCCACATTTGGTTTGGCACAAAAATTAAGAAAAGTAAACACTACAAGAAAAAATACTATAGTTTAGCCGCATTTAATTTGTCACACTTGACTAAGTGTGGCAATGAAATTTAACACTTAAATATTTCCCACATTTATAAGAGTTGTTACACGTAATTCCATGTACCCACATAATTAAGTGTGCCAAATGACTTATATATACTTAATAATTTAAGAAAGTGCATTTAACTTACTCCGCAATTACTCTTTATTAGTAATTTAAATTCTAAAATTACTCACGCATAAAAAAATCATGTCCCGCTTCTTCTAATTCAGTAAAAAAACTAATCGCGCCTAACTTTTCATCATCAGCTCCATTCCGCCCGCCTAATTTTTCATCTCCTAAAACCAACAAAATCTGTAAACCTAATCTCGTTCTCTTTCTACTCTCCGGCGCACAATTAACCTAATCAGTCGCACCTTGCTGCTCTCATCTCGTTCTTCTCTCCTGCGCACATCTCCGTCGGCCTGCATCTCTCTGGCGCAATCTCTCTGGCGCACATCTCAATTAGGTACCGGCCAGCGTATTCAGGGTGCATCAATCCTCCATCTTACCATTCAATTCGTTTGGCTTGCGATTCATTCAGGTATTTATTTTCTTTTATGATTAATTTTGCTTCTAATTGATGAATTCTTGAAATTCGAAACCAGGAAATAGCTGTGCGTATGTCTGCGTATAATTTGTGGATGATGTAACTTTATGCTTTTAGAATTAGAGTGAAGTTTTAATACATTACTTAATATGTACTGCCTCTAAAAATAGGAATCAAATTTTGGGTTCCTGTTATTTCAGCTATGTTAAATACCAGTGTGCATAGAGAGGGAGAAAGGATGTCTAAGGCTATTTTAGTGAATAAGGCTGGTGCTAAGAGTTTGAATCGATTAGATTGTTGAAATATGTGTTGAAAGTAGTTTGAATCTGTCTTGATTGGATTACTTTATTTTTGTCTTGAAATTAGATTTTTGAAACTTTCACATCATTTTTGGTTAGTTCATTTGTTGACTAAACATTTTTTAAGTCTCTTGAAAGTTAATGTTTTGAATGTTTGATTCCTTTTTTGGAATATTTTCCATTTTTTATATCTCTGTAGTTGAATATATTTTGGTTTAGTAAACCTAAAACTATTAGAAGCTTGAACAATATTACCGGTAAGGGTTTTTGTGTAATGTATTTTAATAACTCGAAGAATATTAAATATAGTAGTGATCATGACTTATACTTTTATTTATCATGTGCACTTGTTGAAGTCATCAACTACTACAAAAGTTGTTGGTAAGGGTGAACAACACAAGGTTTCTCAAGCAGCACCCACAACTAGTGCTAATGTTGCGGCTGTTTTGCAACCACAAAAATGTACTCCTGTTAGGCATAGTGTAACCCATCAAGAAATCAGCAAGGTATGTAATTACATTTGTGTCGCTTTGTACCGCATATAATACGATAATTGACTATGTAATGAAGTATGTTTTATTTTTCAATTAGAATCATATCATTAGGATGAACAAGGTAGGAGATATCAGATCTAATACTACCCCGACGATTTTTGATGCATGCAAGGAGCAAAAAACTTCTGAAAAAGAAAAAGTCCCCTTACTAAAGAATATGAATCCTGTAAGTTTATCTCTTCTAGGTATTAATATGAATTTCTATTTAAAATATTGCTCATTTTAACTTTTCCTTGATGAATAATTAATTGAGATTTATTAATTTTAGGTCCAGTTATCTCGAGCTCAGATAGAATTATTGGTGGATAAACTACTAAGGGATTACCCTCATGAACTACCACTACAAGAAAATTGCTGATCTGCAACGGAAAAAATTCGTGGCAGAATTTAAAATTCCGTGGCAGATTTCCAATTTGCGACGGATCTGCTACGAAGTGTTTCCGTCGCAGAAAAGTTGTGGCAGATTTAAAATCTGCGACGGACTTTACATTCCGTGGCAGATCTGCCACGGGCCTGCAACGGTATTTTCATTTTTTCCATCGAACAAAATCTGCGACGGAAATAATAAACCGTCGCAGATCTGCGACGGACTCAGCAACGGAACCTTCCGTCGCAGATCAGCAACAGATTTTCAATCGCAGATGACCTGTTCACAGAACCAGAATTTCCCTGTTTTTGGCACTAGCTATTAAAATGGGGGGTGTGGGGGGCAAAACACATTTAATTTTCACACACATAATTCCAAACAAGATTTCAACACCCAAATTGATAATTCAAATCTAGATTAATGCAAACTTCAAATGCAAATGTAACATAATTCATTATGTTCTAACAATAAATACTAAAATGTTAGTGTCAAGTGTTTAAAATGAAGGAAGCTAAGGTCGTAAATGTCTCAACAAATCCCGGGCTGCCCTGCCTCTCCCGTTCCATCATCATCGCCTCGTCGAGGAAGGTTACCACCATATAGCTTCCTTATCTCCTCCTGAATCGTTAGCGACAAGTTCGAGGTTAGACTATCAATTTGTTCTTGCAGCCTTTGGTTTTGCTCTTTGAGTGCTGATATCTCCGCTGTGCTATTACTCGTGCTGGAACAGCGAGGTTTGGAGGACGGATTCATCTTCCTCATTTCCCGCTCGTAGTCACCAACTCCAGGAACGCGGTTTTTCGCGTTATGGCCATCAACTAGCGAGTACCATATTTCTTCGTCGGTGACTTGCAGCCCATTCTGTCTAGCCTCCTCGCGCAGTTCGAAGAATTGAGCCTGAAATACATGATAGTTAATAACACACAACAACAACGCAATAATAATAGCGTCAAGAACAGCAAGAAAAACAACAAAAACACAAACAACACAAGAACTTAACAACTAACATTACCATGGATCAATAACATAACATATACTTATTGTTGACAGCACCATCAACGCAACAACAAAAATAGGTTGTCATACACTACAAGAAAAACGCAGAATTGCGACGGAAAGTTGCGACGGTTGTACTTCCGTTGTACTCGGCGACGGCATTTGCGACAGACATTGTCACCGTAAATCTCGGCGACGGAGTGTGCGACGGAATTATAAATCCTCGTAAAGTTCGGGGCGGGAGACTTGGCGCCAATTGTCTGCGACGTCATTTGCGACGGCAGCCACCGTTGCAAACTTAATTATTTATTTTAATTTAATTCATTTTCGTTTGCGATGGAATCTGCGAAGGAATCTGCGACGGAGTGGTTCCGTCGCTACCTTTTTTTAAAATTTCACATTTTTCCCCTAAACAACGTCGTTTTGCTCTAAACTCGTATTTAATTTTACCATTGCGACGGATTCTGCGACGGAAAAATTCCGTCGCAAACAGATTGACTTTAAATAAAAAATTTGTCTCCTTCTCCCAAATCTGCAGCGAGTAGAGATAGAGGAGCGACGGCCAGCGAAGAGCTTACGGATCCAGATCGAATTTCTTCAATTCCAAGTAATATTTTTACATTTTTATTGCAATTTACTTATTTATTTTCATCAATATATGATTTATTTTAGAAAAATACATTTTTAGGGTTATGGTATTGTTTTGGATAAAATTGAGGTGTTTGAAGGGGGTTGGGGTTG